AGGCAGGTGCGGGCCGCCTCCGCCTCCATGCAGGTGTCACAGCGGATGACCGGGGCCTCCTCCTCCCCCTTGTCCTCCCTCTTCTCCATCCTCACACCTGTCCGGGGCCAGAAAGCAGACTGTTAGCCAGATTCTTTAGTTGTAAACCAGAAAATATACCAGAGTAGACCAAAAGTACAAAAATATAATTTATTGGGCAAGAGCTAGCTTAACTCATTGGCTGCCAAAGACGTCTATAGACGTCTTTTATGTTTTTCAACAAGAGTGGCTGGGGGACGATCTGCTAAAGCTTGTCCGTAAATATCGGCTTCTAGACAGAGTATGTAGTAAAAAATTGACCCTCTAGGGGGCAGTGCCACTTTTGATGGGAGATGAGCATAGACTGTAGGCAAATAAGAAAAAGCTAACGGTTCGCTATGAAAGAACATGTCACCGGTGAGACGCAAGTCCAGGAAGAACGGAATAAGGTAGAAACACTTTTTTTTTCCTGAATAAAGAAGAGAGTCTACTCTTTCCTTTGGTGTGTTCGGTGTTTACATAGTCATAGCACAAACTATTCTGTGGCTCTTGAAAAATCAGTCAAAATGCTCAAAAAACTCTGGCAGTATGGGACTTTGTTCAAAGTTAGCATGGCTAAATTACTCCCGTTTCTTAAACACTAAAACATTATTTTAGTATTCAATCTAAAAGAAATATACAAATCAATGATTATCCTTCAATTTTATAACCTTTGTTATGATTATAGAAGCAGTTCTGATATTTAAAATGGCTTCTGTTGTGTAGTTGTTGTTGCACTTTCCTTCCAGCGAGTACTATGTAAACTTAGTTTATCACAGGGTTTTCTCTTAAATGTGTAAAGGGTCTAAAGGTTTGTTGGTCTCTGGTGTGCCGTCTCCCTTTACTCTTTAACTCTAACTAACATGCTAACTGCCCATGCTTACGCTAATATTAGAGTTAGCGAATTCAATTGACACTCTTAACCCAATTTCTCAAAGGAGGACTGTACACAACCAAGTCCTATTGGCCAGTTACCTCTGGGCAGGAACAGGCCAGGTCCTAATTTATGCAGATGACAGGAATGTGCTAACAAATGGTGTGTGTGTGTGTGTGTGTGTTGACCTAAAGGTGGATCTAATGCAACAGAGAGAGAAAAAGAGAGAAAAGAGAGTCTGTGGACACAGCCAGAGACTTTAACACAAAATATAGTTATAAAAGAAGCTAAAACAATCAGTAATTTACATAGATCATGTGATAGCATACAATGCTAAAATGAGTAATTATAGCCTAATGTTAACAAGACCCAGAAACACCACTGAGAAACTAAAGCAGAGAAGAAACAACCCTCCAAACGTTCAGATCAGAGGAATCCCTCCAACTTTCTCTCATCTAACCGGACGTGGCTCCACTCACCTGAGAATCCAGAGGGAATCCTGTAAAAAATCTGAGAGGACAGAGTCTAAAGTCGTCATGGGATCAGAGACAGAGGACAGTAAAAGAAGAGGAGGGATCAGGTGTATGGAAGCCCGTGAAAGAAAAACTTAAACCCCATCAGGAAGTCTTAATTACAAGAACAAAAATCAGAATTACGAGGAATTTAAATCAAACTGAACAGGTGGTTCTTTACATGCTTTAAAAAAAAACTGACCAAGCCAGTAAAAGTCAGATTTCTTCAAAAATAATGTGTAAATACAAAAAATAACATTTTTATTCACCTTCAGGTTTAATCCACATTTATAATCTTTTAATGTTGTAGTGAAGAAATATTTTGTTTAAAAAACACTTTAATAGCATTTTTGTACTTTATTCAAAGCACTTTAACAGGCTTTTTTTTTTTATCACTGCACCTTAAGCACGGATTTACAAATAAAGAATCATTTGCACAAAAGAGGTTTTAACAATATTGCATTTTTTAAATATTTTAATAATTAGAATGTAGCTTTTTTGTCATTTTAAAGAAGTCTTAATTCTGACATGATCTCAAAGAACAGAGAAAGCTACTGTGGAGTATTAAAGAGAGCAAAAAAGGGGATAAACTCGTAATTGTTCAGGCTTTTTCTTTATTTTTGGCTGTTATCTTGGATATAATGTCACACAGTTTTATAATTACTCTTTTCAGCACACCAAGCAAAAGGTCTGAAGAGGGTTTACCTACTTCTGGCTTTTATTTATAGGAAGCAATATTACATATGAAGAAAAATCAAAAAGGATTGGGTGCACAAATTTCCACAAAAGGAATGTTTCTGTAAATTGTCGGCATTCATAGCATCGAAACAAAACCAGAGTTATTGAGACATTTTAATCAAAGCACTATTTCACATATACAGTGATTTTTTTTACTAAACATTAACACCAAGTCATATTTAACACCCCCCCACCTTTTTTTAAACACATCTTAGACCAAAGAAAAAGTAAAACTGATTCATTAGCAGAGATTTTGCTCAATTGACTTTGAATTTTGCACGTAGAGGACAGAGTAAATGTTTTCAAATGCAAACAAAAACAAAGAGCAGAAAAGTCCTCTGTAACAACGCACAGTTTCTTCTGATTTCACGGCATAAACACGCTAACATACGATGCACTTTAACCTTGATATTAAATGTAAATATGTGTTGAAGTGGCCCAGACTGACAGCAAACAGAGGAAACTGGGACACTACAGCTACCTTCACTGTTCACATGCACAGATTCAGGCTAGTTGAGCATGCAGGTTTTGCTTTAGCACATTTAGCCGCCTCCTCACCTGGCCAGGTAAACGAGTCGCTGCAGCTAAAGCTGGCAGCGATCCTCAGGGAGGCAGCAGAGGCCGGTTTAGCTGCTTCCACCAGGGCAAAACTCATCTGTTTTATGTCTATGGGACGTGAACATGAGCAGAACCCGGGTTCAAACCGGGTCGTCTGTCCCCGAAAACGCAAACGATTAAAGCAAAACGCCTTAAAGGAGACATATTATACCCTATTTCAACAAGTTAAGCTAGTTCCCTGGTGTCCTGATGTAATGTCTGTGACAAGCTTTGGTCAAAACCCCATAAGGATGAAGCCCAATAGCAGTTCAGTCCCCCTGCCCACAAAAACAGGACAGAGTAATTTTTTTTTCACACTTTGCCTGCTGATAGGCCCTCCACAGTCCCAAACGTACATAATCAAATGATTAAAAACTTGGTTTTGCATAATATGTCTCCTTTAAAAGTGATCAGCTTTGTCCAGTCGGGATTGAAACTTGAGTCTATAGGACTTATGGTTCCAATCAGCCACTGAGCTGAGCGAGTTTTTAAGGCTGGGAAACAAACCTTGAGTCCAGTCAATGTAACCTTTAGAGGAAATTCAGAGACCCCCAAAGAGTTACAGCCA